GAGGGGGGGGGGGGAGAGAAGGAGAGCCAGAGAAGAGATGAGACTCGTGTTCCAGGAATAGTATCGTCGCTTTGGCTCAACAACGTCGCAGCCTCGCAAGAAGACGCCGCACGACGCTCGAATGCCAGGAACACATCCCGGATGTCACATGTTGCACGCACGACGAGCGTACGCACTACGCACCGCGCATCTTCCTACGGCAGAGCTGACGGCACCGTCGCATACCAATTACACGGAGGATCCGCCGATCCACGGGAGTATAATATGTACAGAGATTACAAAGAGCCACGATATGCCCCTTTGCTAAAAGGAATACGTGACCCGTGATCTTAATATGCGGAGACGAGGACATATATATATATAGGTATATGTATATACACACATATATAGTCCATTACAATTTTTCCGGATATTCTCCTTGGGACGCCACTTCCGGCGGAAGTACCCTCGTCGGGGCAATTAACCAGACGTCGAGTAATCGTCTCCGATTAATATAGCGCTTCGCCGACTTCCGTCCTAATGAAAAATTTCATGGGAACGCAACAGGCGCTCTGGTTGAAGCTCGCTCGAAGATGCCCGGGACACCTTAATAGAGATCTCAAAAAAAAAAATTGATCAACCATCTTGTTCGGTTGGCCGACCCCGTGATTTTCAGCAAGGCTGTTTACATTTTACGAAAAAAAAAAAAAAATAATTTACGTAGGAATACCGGATGAACCAAGGCAGGGGAGGAGGGGTTTACTGTCACTACCGCTCGTATATAACCCGATAACGAAATATGCCACCGGAAGTCACAAAAGAGGATCCGAGCGGAAGAGCCGATGGAACGTTAACAAGTCAGGACCGGCGAGCCGGAAATTCGATAACGATAACGAGATATCCAAATTGGTTTGAAAAATCTTCCGAGATAAAGCACGCAGAGTCCAGAGACGATGATACAATTTAAAAAAACAAAAAACTGTCAAGTGCTCATCGGAAGAGACCGGAAACGACAATAGCACGAAGAAACGGAAGCGAATGACTGACTGGCGGAACCGGTAACGTGACCGAGTCGACGAGGAACGCCATAGAAAGATAGAGAGAAAGAAATAGAGAGAGAGAGAGAGAGAGAGAAAGCGAGAGAGAGAGAGAGAGAGAGAGAGAGAGAGAGAGAGAGAAAGGAAGTAAGGAAGTAGAAAATAATAAGAAAGACATCCCGGCGGCACCGTAAAGAGCGAGACCTCTGGCATATGGCAAACAGGAGCCGGAAGTCGATGTGACTAGATTCTAGAGCGTTCCGAGAGGGTGTACGAGGAGAGAGGAACAACCGGAAGTATTACCCGCTCGCGGCGCAGGGAGTAATGAATGAAATGAAACGAAGGTAACTGTACGCACTAAGTCGTATACGCAACGTACGTGTAACGGCGCGGTACAGTGCAAAAGCCATGCGCCAGAGCGCGCGCGTGTTCCCATAATATTTATGTCCACCTCGTTATCATTGGCCAACATGGACCGCGTACAATACAGAAACGTACGCGATATCTTTGTACGTTACGCGCGTAACGCAGAGAGATAGTGAAAAGAAAACAATATTAAAATACCAACTAGAGTTCCAGAACTACGATACATTACCGGAAACGCAGAGGGGGGGG